TCACCTGGTAATGGAGACAGCTACTAAGTAACTAACTGGTGGGTAGTGTTCACCGAGCAGATACACTGGTCAAAAAGATGGTTCACGTTCCCAGTGAGATGGTGCAGAATGGTGCAAGAGTCCATCACGCTACTCAGAACAGCATACAATTTAAAACCTGTGAGTTGTTTATTTATGGAATTTCTCACTTAATATTTTCAGAACACATCTGACTGAAGAGGCAACTAAATCCCAGGAAAGTGAACCCAGAGATAAAGGAGGAGGACTATTGTACTAATCTCCAATCCCCTTGGGAGGCAATTTACCAATTCAGCAACTAACTGCTATGCTACAAATTATGTAATTTTTGATGTCCGTAAAGCCTAAAGGCTAAAACACTTTCCTAAACTAACCATGGTTTCTATTTTGTATTTACTGTAGATACCCAGTGTACAGAGTTTATGAGAGATGTCATTATTGCTGTAATTTTTAAGTATCATCATCATTATAAAATACTATTAATAGGTTAGGGAAATTACAAATATCCTTTCACAGACAGACAAAAAATCATCATGGAACTAACTAGAGAAATTGATGGTTCTTTTTAAAAAGATAGGCCAATCTTCCAAATGAAACTCAATGACCTACATATCTATTTTTTAAAAAGTTAACCCTAAAATACATCTTTAAAAATGAAATAGTCACTTATTCATTTAAATCTATAACATTGTCGTCATTAGGCAAGATTTCTCGTGTATATTCTTTTTACCAGACATTTTATATCCACAAGTTCTTACAATGATATAGCTATATTCCTTGCTTTAAAGATAAGAAAATGAAAGCTCAAAAAGGCCCATCATCTAGTAAGTGGTAGATCTGAAACTCACACCCAGATTTGCAAGCCGGTACCACAATATTCTATCATCTCAGCCACATGAGCACTGATTTAAATGACTAACAATGGTGGGTAGTTAGAGAAATTGTGTTACATTTAGTAACTACAATTCTATACAACTATTAAAAATTACAAAGTAGTTTTGCCAACAAGATAACTGTGGAATTTTAACATCTTCCTTGGCTGAGGACTTTACATTTTTATATCATTTCTCATTCCCCTAATGATCATTCAAGATAAGTATTTCTATATCTCCATTTCAGACAGAAACAAGGTTGAGGGTTAGGGACTGCACCTGGAAAATGACAGACCTGGCAAGGGAAGCCAGCTGGGCCCCAAACTCCATTTTCTTCATCATTACACTGTACAGTATCACACACAGTGACTGGCTGGCATGAAGTTGGTAGAGACCCTCCAATAATTACAATCCCTGCCTTCTGAGTCTGCATGAAGGAAAGTAATACCATAGAAGAGCACTTCAATTTAAAGGGGAAGTAAAAAAGATCAAGACTCAATATGTATATGCACTAATTCCCCAAGATGAATTTAATTATTATATATCACAAACATATATTAATTAAAAATCTAGTTAAAAAAACAGAGTTAACACGACTAGCACTGGTACTAAAGTTCCTTGCTTTAGGGCAAGTAATTTCTCGTTTTATTCACAATAGTATTTATTTAAACCAGAACAACTATACTCATTTTTTTAATATTTTTTAATTTTAATAAATTAGGTTTCAATCAGACCTTTGGGGTTTTTTTTGGTTTTTTGTTTTTGTTTTTTGGTTGGGGGGGGCTTTACAAATAAAGAGTACATTGTGTTTCCACTGTTGGCAGTAATGAAATAGTTAAATCTTGAGTTACACTCTGGTGGATAGCTCCCTAAACCATCAAAGAGGAAAACTAAAAAGAGGTCACAGTCAGTTACTCCCGTCAGATCAGTGTTCACTAGAACATCTGTAGGCACCACACACTCTCTCGGCCACCAGCTTCCTGCTTACTGCAGTCACAGTGGGCAGGGAGTGAACCTTCCCCAAGTGCTGATTTAAATACCTGGTTTAGCGGCAAAGATTCAGAGAGGGGTGAGCAGGCCCTCTGCCCTTCAGGTAGGTCCAATACCTTCATTTCTACCAAAGCTTGTTTGTAACCTTGAAGGGAATGATGACACACACTTCAGCAACCTGTTAGCTGCAGATGGGCAGTGGGTTAGAGGGCGAAGGGAAGAAGCAGACTTTAGAAAACGTGGGGTTCCTTGTTCGCTAGCTGATTGCAAAGATTTAATTCCTATACCTTCAGAGCACTATTATTAATCTTAGTACGTAAACGTTTCTCTGGTATTAATATAGAAAGAAAAACTTAATTCTGGTTTTACTTCCAGCAAAAAAAAAAAAAAAATCAAATATATGCCTCAAACCTGACTTAACCATACAAAATACTGTTAACTCACACACCAAATGCCTGCAGTTACAAGACACTAGATGCCTTGTACATGAGGTTACTTGCTATTTTGGAGCAATCAGGAAACATGGGAGCGCAGATCAGTAAGATTTAATGCTTCAGAGTACCCTATCTTTCTTTGGAAAGAAAAATAAGTGGGTTCAGAGCCAGGAAACTACAAACCCAGACCTTACACCATTAGTTCTCTTTTGATACTCAACTATGCCCTGGCTTCAAAGTGAATAAATGAAAATCTCCCTGCTGAGGAATGTTAGCATGGGGTTGGGAAGATTGTGTAAGTGTTTCGGTCCTATGTCTCTACCTTTTAAAAAGAATCTTTAATGTGTTGACTTTGAAATTTCCCTCAGTTGAAGAACAGTGTCTTATTTTTAAAAATCTGTCTCTTTTTGTCCAGTCTATTTAAAGAAAAACTCTTCAGTAGGTTATTTTAGATCTAGCATAATCTTTTTAAAACTTTTTAAAAACTGAGATAAGACTAATACAGTTATACTAAAATAATGGAAGAGACAAAATGGTCTCTATGTCAAAACATAATCAAGTAAGTAAAGCAAAATATCCCAATATCAGTCTTTGTAGGTGTTTAAAAATAAGCAAGTTTTGGCAGAAGAACTTCCTTCATCCAAAATGGAGCAACTCTCTGAAAATATCACATAACCCGCTGAGTGTAATCACCTACAGTTTTCATTTACTGAATTGTGGATTGATAATATTTTCTTTTCATTCCTATGGATAGAATTTTCTTACTTGTTGGGATGCCTTCTTTTATGTATATCTGGATAGCCCACAAATAAATAAAATACTTGGTCACGTCATTTCACAAGCAGTGTTAGTTGCTGAATCTACAAATAACAAAGGTCAGGGAGAGAAAGGCTTGCTTTCACAGACTTGGCAATCATATTTCACAGGCACCACTTCGTCGCTTGGTTTAACAGCCACAAGAGTATCAGTAAAAGATCATACCTTGAGGAACCTACCAAGTAAACTAAAAAATCATTAAGTACAAGAGAATGCCTAACAATTAATGACATCTAAGCTACAAAAGTATTTCCAGGCAAAAAAATGAAAATAGAAACAACAACATCTATTAGAATGACCACAGATTCAAAATGGCCCAAGCAATAAAATATTGCAGTGTCAACTAATATTAATCATTCACTATGTGATTTACATGTGTTCCCTCATTTGTTTCTCAAAATAATCCAATGAATAGGTACTAATATTACCTTCATTTTTCAGACAGAAAAACAGAAAGAAAATAACTTGCCCATACAACTGTTAGAGCCCCAGATTTTTACTCAGAAAATCTAACTTTAGATCCTGCATGTTTAATGAAGGGTTAGAGAATGACAAGAACAATAAAATATCCCTTGTTATTTACATTAACTCACCACCAGCACCCTCAGCACATATATTTATCCAACTCACTAGTTCAAAAGTTTATACCCACTGGCAACATTTCAATATTCTAAAGCCCCTTTTAACCATTTCCAACTTTGTATCAGTTGTCATTAATGGCAGACAACTAATCTTGAACAGTCCTACTTTTGATAAGGTCAGACATCACCATAATAACTATCCTACAGGGCTGGAAGCTTGTTCTAAGTGCTTTACATGTATTAAATTACTAATCATGATTGACATCAACCTAGGAAGTAGGTGTCATTATCCACTTTACATATGCAAAAACTGAGGCACAGGGAGATTAAATAAGTTGCCCAAAGTCATGGGGTTAGTAAGTGACAGAGCCGGGATATGAATCTAACCAGTCATGTAGTAAATGACCGAGCTGGCACTGTATCTAGCCAGTCGAGCAATTCTGCTTTTAAGTGTATTAACTATTTACTCTGAGAGTCAATTAATCTGTTATATCGTGTTTCCCTTTACTTTTGGTGCCTATAACCCTCCCTGGAAAATAAGAAATGTATTTTACATCTTTATAAGTGAGGTAGCAATAATAAAATTAGATAAGTTAACAAATTTACTTCTTCTAGTGTCATTTTAAATGTCATAATATAAATACGACATCCTGAGTAATTCTGGCACCGTTTTGCTCTGTGCCTGCTTGCTAGAGAATTACCTCAAAGTACATGAGCCGGAAAGAGATTTGAAATAAAAGCTACTAAGACTGTCTTCCTAGAAAGGGGAAGGGGGAGATGTGTTTAGGAACCTTCTCTGTCTCCCTAAAAGAATTCTAGAAACAGGAGAAAAGGCAGCTAAGGAAACGAGGGGCCTTTCCGGTGGTACTTGCAGAAATCTAATTGGTACATTTCCATTACTAAATGCAGAACAGTAAAATTCGTATCAGGCAATTTCTCCCCTGCCCACCAGGTATCGGATTCTCTAAGATCATCACAGTTTGTGTAACCTCCACAGCCCCTTTAGCCGCCTGCCTCAGCAACCCAAGGGCCCTCAAGGGTGCAATTCTGAGCCGAGCCCAAAGCATCCAGGCAAAAGTAGTAATGACACCTCTGCCATGGCGTCCCTTTACTGTGCGGTTTCCAGGCAACCATACTCCAGAAGCAGCTGTGCCTCCTCCTGGGTCACCTGTTTCTAAGAGTCACCAAGGGAGGATCAGGCAATTCCAGGACGTGGGTTTGCCCGACACCCATCCTGATATTGCAGCCTTCTCGTAACTCAAGATTGGGTGGGTGCCAACTTCTCTCACCTCGCATGACCCAGTGGTCTGCGCCTCGGCTCACATCTAGTCACTTCGCACTTTTGGCGTCCTTATTCAAAGAACCATCCTAGAAGTCTTCCCCTCTTGGAGCAACAAAAGCGATGATCATAGCTACCCGGGTATACAGAAAGGATTTCTGGGAAATGTAGTTCTTTCAGCTAAAGTGTGAGAAGTTTTAGAGGAAAAGAACTATATTTCCCAGAAGTCTAAGGGTGAATAGTCCAACTCCAAAATATGTCCCAGCTGCTTGGTTTGAATCAGATAAAAGGTTCTGTATCCTTTTGCATACCTAACTTCCTGAATTTTGTTCATCTGGTCCTACTTCAAACACGCCTTTTTCCATGTGAAGTCATCTGGATATTGTGAGTTATGCCAAGAGATAGTCTAAATCATTTTATTTTATAATTTTTTCAGATCAAAGATCTACTGACGATTGGAAAATATGTCACTGCAGATGGTAACAGTCGGTAATAATATCTCCTTAATTCAACCAGGCTTCTCACTGATGAATTTTGATGGGCAAGTTTTCTTCTTTGGCCAGAAAGGCTGGCCGAAGAGATCCTGCCCCACTGGGGTTTTCCATTTTGATGTGAAGCATAACCATCTCAGACTGAAGCCTGCAGTTTTCTCTAAAGATTCCTGCTACCTTCCACCTCTTCGCTACCCTGCTACTTGCACATTCAAAGGCAGCGTGGAGTCTGAGAAGTACGAATATATTATCCATGGGGGCAAAACACCAAACAATGAGCTTTCGGATAAGATTTATATCATGTCTGTTGTTTGCAAGAACAACAAAAAAGTTACCTTCCGCTGCACAGAGAAAGACTTGGTAGGAGATGTTCCTGAAGCCAGATACGGTCATTCCATTGATGTGGTGTACAGTCGAGGGAAAAGGATGGGAGTGCTCTTTGGGGGACGATCATACATGGCTCCTACCCAAAGAACCACAGAAAAGTGGAATAGTGTCACTGATTGTTTGCCCCATGTTTTCTTGGTGGATTTTGAATTCGGGTGTGCTACATCATACGTTCTTCCAGAACTTCAGGATGGACTATCTTTTCATGTCTCTATTGCCAAAAATGATACCGTTTATATTTTAGGAGGACATTCCCTTGCCAGTGACATCCGCCCTACCAACCTGTACAGAATAAGGGTTGACCTCCCCTTGGGCAGCCCAGCTGTGAACTGCTCACTCTTGCCAGGAGGAATCTCTGTGTCCAGTGCAATCCTGACTCAAACTAACAATGATGAATTTGTTATTGTTGGTGGCTATCAGCTTGAAAATCAAAAGAGAATGGTCTGCCACACTGTCTCTTTAGAAGACAACGACATCAAAATCTGTGAGATGGAAACCCCAGATTGGACCCCAGATATTAAGCACAGCAAGATATGGTTTGGAAGTAGCATGGGGAATGGAACTGTTTTCCTTGGCATACCAGGAGACAATAAACAAGCTGTTTCTGAGGCATTCTATTTTTATATGTTGAAATGCTCTGAAGATGGTATGAATGAAGATCAGAAAACATTGGCAAATAGTCAGACATCAACAGAAGATCCAGGTGACTCTACGCCCTTGGAAGATTCAGAAGAATTTTGTTTCAGTGCAGAAGCAAATAGTTTTGATGGTGACGATGAATTTGATACCTATAACGAAGAGGATGAAGAAGATGAGTCTGTGACAGGCTACTGGATAACATGCTGCCCTACCTGTGACGTGGATATCAACACTTGGGTACCTTTCTATTCAACTGAGCTCAACAAACCTGCCATGATTTACTGTTCTCATGGAGATGGGCACTGGGTCCATGCCCAGTGCATGGATCTAGCAGAACGCACACTCATCCATCTGTCAGAAGGGAGCAACAAGTATTACTGCAACGAGCATGTGGAGATAGCAAGATCACTACAAACTCCAAAAAGAGTCCTACCCTTTAAAAAGCCTCCAATGAAACCCATCCGCAAAAGAGGCTCTGGGAAAGTCTTGACTCCTGCCAAAAAATCTTTTCTTAGAAGACTGTTTGATTAGTTTAGAAAAAAAAACTTTCAGATTTGAGTGTATTGATTTTTAAACATATTTTTAAATGATAAACATATTTCTCAATGTTTGTTTATTAAACACGCCTCTGTTTTCTGTTAGTTATGTGACTTGAATGCTAGTATGTTAAGGTATTGCTAAATACAGTCATTCTAAGGGCTACACATTTTTTTAATCTTTTCCTTTAGAGCTATCTTAAATGGAATTTTTTTTGGGGGGGTACTGGGGATTGAACTCAGGACCTTGCCTTGTGAGGCAGGTGGCAGAACCACTGAACTAAATCCCCAGCCCTGAGAATTTTGTATTTCGTTTATTAATACATGTTTGCCATACATATTGATACATTTGTCATAGAGAATTTGTACCTGTACATATTATGTCTTAATTATTTTTTTCCTGTTTCCTTCCCCTCCTTTCAGTCCTGCATCCCTACTCCATTTACAAAAGCTTTGTTTTCATTTGATTCTTAGATTCTTTTTTTAATTAATTTTGAGAATTCTTATTTTTAGTCAAGAAATCATAAACAAAGAAGCAGTGATAATAATCAAAATATATTACATTATGTAAAGGTACACATTCTCAATAATGAACATCAGCATATTGTATATCTAAAATGTACCAATAAAATGGTACATTTGAAAATATACATATACTTATATCACTTGTATCATTTTTAGTAGCAACATATAAAGTAGTTAAGACAAACGGAACCCAAAGGAAGCTAATACAAAGGAATTAATTTCTGTGTGCAATATAGCAATTTCGAAATTGGCCAGAAATTCAAACCAAAATTCAACACTACTGCACTCTATACTTCTTTAGCCTCTTGGATAAACAGAACAACTTGTATTTTTATATAATCTCCACTTACATGAAGGGAAAAATAATCTACAACATATTTGGCATGTGTTTTTAAAGTAAGGTAATTTGCTGCACTGTCTTCAGAGATTCACCTCCAAATAATATGGTAATTGATGATGTGCCAAAGCCAATCATTTAGCCCCATTATTTGAATGAGCTTTCACAAGGAGAATGAACACTAATGATATTGGGCATTCTGGAGAGAGAAATGAGTGAGAAGATGCTGAGAAATGACTGCCAAATAAATCTCAAAGAGAAGATCAATATCAATTATTCCCTAAAAACAACAAAAGTTTTGTAAAATTTTCATGACAAGAACAAGCAGAAGGTTGTAAATGGGGATTTCAAACTTCGTGTAATGTGTGTGTAGCTAGTTAACCTGGACAGTTTGCTATAAGTAAATATTACAAGATCACTGACTTTGCCAATGTTCAATTAGACACTTACTAGGCAGTTAAATGGACTGTTAATTTTGATGCTTCAAGACTTCAGTTGATAATTAGATGAACTTAAAAATAAGTATCTTCTGTCCTGGAACATCTTTTCTGGGAAAAATATTTCACCTTATCCGAAGCTATTCAGCCATAGTCTCCCATAATCATTCACCATTCTTCACCAAAATTCCAGTGTTTAAGGTAGTATTGCCATGCTTAGGAGAAACACGAAATGACAGGAAATGAAACGCCAGAGCACAAGTTGTCTTGTAATACTGCAAGTCCCAGATACTGGAGTTCAGTTGGACAGACCAAATCATGTTCTCTCATTTTCAATAATGTGAGTGATGAGTATTCCCTTTCGATAATTTGTTGTAATGTTGATTTGAATTTTTGTTCCTACCACCTATGTGAAATAATAAAATGTAGAAGTCTTCTGTTTTTATTGATTTGCTCAAATTAATAACATTTACATTTACTCAAGTAAAGGTAAAATTAAACTAACTTTTTCAGGATCACTACTTTGATTTCTTTTCTTTTTGTTTTTTTAGAAAGCACATAAATCGAAGTTAAAATATCTTTTACAGAACACAAAGGTAATATTTCCTCAAGAAGTAGATATTGCCCATTGTCTTGATTTGTCTGTAATGGCTAAAGAATTGTTACCCTGCTTTTATTTTCTACTAGATGAAATCAAGATGTTATCATCTAAACAATTCAGTTTGGAACTCATTGAGCTATACAGTCAGCCTCACATCTCACCATCATAACCTATAGAGTGTGTGTGTGTGTGTGTGTGTGTGTGTGTGTAGAATGTTTTGATTTTACTGAAATTGCATTTGTGGTGTTCTGTTTTGTTTTGGTTTGGTTTTGGTACCAGGGATCGAATTTGGGCCCTTGCACTTGCAAGGCAGGTGGCAGAACCACTGAGCCAAATCCTCAGCCCAACTGACAATACATTTGTGCAAATATAGGTATTTTAAGTCATCACTAATGAGCCCATTGGATGTGACTTTAAAGTAATAAAGCTTCTTTCTGAAAAATATATGCAAACATTCAAATGAGCTAGTTTAGAGGAGTACACATTTATTCCAACAATATTGCCTTTATCTAAAAACATTCTGGAGGTTCACTTCCCGTCACCTTCAGAATCTATGCTTTATTCCTCCTACGATATTCAACAGTCATCCTTCCTCTCATAGAGATAGATTTAATTTCTGGAAATGGTTAAATAGCATTCAAAGCTTGACAGTATAAAACTCGGTATTGCATTACCACTTGAAACCAAAAATGAAGCATGAATATAAATAAACACGATGGATATCCACATATGGCTCATAAACAAGTTCTAAAGGTAAGTCCAAAAATTGTTTGCACAGAGTATAATAGTAAGGTGGACATGGTGGTACATGATTGTAATCCCAGCACTTGGGAGGCTGAGGCAGGAGGATCACCTGGAGTCCAAGGTCAGCCTAATAATGAGTTAAAGGACAGACTGAGCTACATAGTGAGCTACCAGTGGTTTCACTGTCTTAGGAGAATGGAAAGAGTAACGAAAAAAGATTACTTAGTCCAGAGGTCCTGAGGTAAGAGGAAGTTTGTAAGATTTGAGGAAAGATGGCCAGTCTGGTCACCACATGATAAACAAATGGAGTGTGGACTGGCATGAACCTGGAGCAGTAGGAGGGGCCAGGACCTCCAATAATTATCAGTAAAGTAAAGTCACATTATGTCTTTCCCATATCAGAGAAAGTTATAAAGGTCAAATTGAAAATTACTCTCTGAACATTTACTGTTGTTATGTGAGAGATCAAAAAATAGTTTCATTTCTCTTTCTCTCTCTCTGTAAAATAATTCCAGGTGCTCTTGGTAAAACTCATCTGAGAAGAGGTTTAGTGTTACTTGCAAGAGATTTTTGCAATAATTAAAATAAGTAACCATAACAATTTCCAGGTAACAAATACAGAATCTAAGCTAGACATAATCAAGGACTACATAAAAATATTTTAGGTGTATTAAAAGAAGACAACGTAGCAGTCATGAATTATTCTTAGAAATATGCTCAATAAATTATACAGTTTAAAAGATCCAATTAATAGTATGTGATCTCATCTGATGTGGAAAATCAAATTGTGAGATCAGACTTATTGAGAAGGATAAGTAAATGGAAATTGTTCTGTTCTTGGTAGGGCCTTATACTGACAAAACAAAGTATATGAAGTTTATTGAAGAGATAAACCTCTCATTTGATATAATATAAATGGATCTATTTTGACCCATTCCTGCCAGACTTATCTTTCAATGTCACTACTGTCTTCACATTTTGTGTTCAGTCTCCAAAAATGCTGAATGGTAACACTTCTCATGTGTACATTTGGCAGTTTCAGACCCCAGGGCCTTTGATCAACCTGTTCCTTTTGGAGAGAATACCTTGCCACTTGCACCTTGCAATTTCTTTTTTTTTTTTTTTTTTTTTTTTTTTTTTT